CGGGATGACCTTTCTTGCCACACTTCTCACAGACCAGATGTTTCCAGCATCCAGATTCGGTGTGCTTCCGGGATCCGCACTGTGAACACCTGACTTGTGCTGCCCCGTCCATGAGATCTCGGGATCTGTACATTCCACGGTCCCCGGGTACGGTATCCCCCGGCCGAGAGTTGTCTCCTGTCTTCGCCGTTCGATCGTTGGATGCAGTGAGACAGACCCGACGGTAATCTTCAGGGTCGGAGTCCGAGCCGTCGGATCCTGATTCAGTTCCTGAGTCGGGCGCCGTGACTTGGTGGACACGTCGAGCTGGGGCCGTAGGCGTCGGAGCCTTTTGGCGATACTTGCCGGATCCGACCGCCGCCTTCTTCTGGCGGTGTTTCGCGCGATCCACCGCCCGCAGCACTTCCTCAAGCTCGTCTGCGTCGGGAAGTCGTAACAGGGTCAGCCTGTCGGCCAGATCCACGTCTCCCACCGTCTCGATGAAATGATCCACGTGTTCCCGCAGTACCTTGGATCCCCCATCCTTGATCTTCAACTTGGCCCGTAGACCGGCCCCATTTAGTCGATGTAGGTATTCTAGCGGGGATTCATCCGATCTGCGGCGAGCGTGGTAGTATTGTCGTGCCACCGACACTCCCAATCCACAGTACTGGGTCTGGCAGCTGCGCAGCAAATCTGGCCACTTGTTCCTGGTGGATCTGCCCAGCTGCCGATACCAGTTCCTGGCTGGCCCCGCTAGCAGATCCGCAAAGGTCAAACACTTCTCAGCATCCGACGCTTGATCTCTCATGAGGGCCGACTTGACTTTGCTGATCCATGTTCTCGCTCGGTCCTCATCTTGATCCTTGCCCGTGAACCCCTTCAGATCCGATATGGCTGAGATCCGTACCCTTTGAGATATACGTGGAACGATCCACCTGTCCCGGCTGTGGCTGTTGCTACCACTGCTGACGAAGGGGATGGGCCATCCAGATCATCTGGGTCGAACTCATCATGGGAGTTGTCTCCCTCCACGGACTCCATCTCCACGTCTCGTGCTCCATGTTCGTGGAGCACTTGCACTTGTGGCACGGGCGCTCTCATACCCTGTTCGGCCAGGAAACGACTCATCGCAGCTTCGAAGTGTCGCTGCAGGGTGCCCGAGGAAGTGTCGGAAGAGCCTGTGGCCGTCTGGTCCACTGGCGAGACCGGATCCGTGAGGCGATTACCTTGAGCCCGATCTGACGATAATCCCACTGGCTTCTTGTCGGATCTGGCTCGATCGTGGCTGAATTGTGTCAGATCACGCGTGGGGCCTACTGGATCCCGAGCCTTCGCGCTCACAGGGACTTCCTGTCCTCGGCTCCTCGCCCGCGCTTCCAGCATGGATGCCCCGGAGGGTCCTAAAGTCATGCGTCGTGGTTCGGACGACGTGTCTGACTCATCCTCAGCGGCGGATTCGTAGTTCGAGGATGCAGCTTGGCTGACCCTCGGCGACGACACCGGATCCATAGTGCGCGACCTTTCTCCGGTGATGGACTTAACTCTGGCAAAGAGGTCCCGCGTCGCGGATACTATGAGATCCAGGTCTAGCTCGAAGATATCCTCTGCGTCGAACGCACCAGCTACGATGCCTGACTCCGTAAGCAAACGTAATAGATCTTTGACTGCCACTAACTTGTTCGCCGTTTTCGTTGGTGCTCTTACCGGTTCCCTTGGATCGTCGATCTGTCGTGGATTCAGGATCTGCATGACAGGATCTTGATGCAGGAAGTCGCGTAAAGCTTGGTGGCGATACACAAACTCGAGATCCTTGTCTGACCAGCTTGACCTGGATCCAGCTTGGTCTTCTTCCGACTCTGGAGCTTGTATCTTCTTCCGCGTAGTCTTACTCGTTTTCGTCTTCTTTCTCGTTTCTACGACTAGCGGGGTTGGGTTTTGGTACAGTGTTGGCTTAACCGGTGAATCTGCAAATGCATACCGTTTCGCCTTCACTTTTCCTTGTTTTGTTAGCGGATCTTGACGCAAGTTAAGATCCGCATGGGTCCCCGAGGGGACCTGGGGAGGATAGAGAGGTTTTTCTTCTAGATCCGGATCCGGATCCGCCTCTCTTCCGTCGACAGAGTTCCTCCCAAAACTCCATCGATCCGCGGATCTTGTTTCATTCAGCAGCGTCTTCGTCGATCCGACTTCCGACGACGCCTCTTCCCCTGGCTCAATCTTCACTTGAGCATCTTCTTGGGACTCACGGTGAAATCCCGAGTCACCAAAAGATCCGGGCACGCGCACCATTGTGTTGTAGCGGGATCAGCAAAATCTGCGAGATTGCCAGATCCAACTTACCAACTGCGCCCAGACACCGACTAGCGGAGGGGGTCCCCCGATGATCCGTGTTCTGCTGAACTTTCCTCACCTTGTGTACCCGTCGGTAGGGCGGGATCTTGCTCTCTCGGTAACTTCCGAAGAGTTCAAGTGGTGAAGCTTGAGTGTCTTGGCGAGACGTGGGGATGGGGTGGAGCAGCAGTGGGAAATCTTCACTCTGCGTCCGTGGATGGTTCCGAATCCCAAGCGAATATTCGAGCTTATGGATCCGGGGCCTAGATCGTGGATCTGGCCGTAGGGTTGCCTTACGGGTGTGTTCCCTTGCCTTTGTAGCTCCTTTGCGTCGTACTTGCCGCCTCCTGTGACGGGATCTTGAAAGTTGAGAGCCTCTAGGGTGTAACCGACCAAGTAGTAAATTCGGTTAGCCTGTCGGATTTGCACAAGTAAAGAAAAAGCTCACTAGGTTGTAGGATCTGGCCAATGTATTATCCAGTTATCACTACCAACACTAGATTCGCATTTCCTAACTTCCTCCTAGCTCGTACGGTCAATGTAGTTGCGGTTCTTGAGGGCAGGAAGGCACTTGCGTGATACTGTGCAAATTGGGTTCTGTATTGATATTTAAGCCTATACCTGCCTGGATTTCTACCTTCTATGTCTTTCATCTGCTAAATTCCTTACCAGGCTCGGCTGCATGTCCCTTCTTCCCTTGACCCATCATCCCAGCTGTGTTATCTTCAGATCCACCGGATCCATGACGTAATCATCATGGTCACCCTGTTATGGGTACACTCATCCGGATCTAGGTCGCTTGGATCCACCTCGCTGTAATTGTACACTCGCCGTGGATCCGAGCTCTCCAATCATCCAACATCATCTTGCAACCGTCTGTGATCTCCTTGGTCCCACGAAAGTTCGAGATCCGCTGCATCCATCATCCCTATACCCTGGATCCAGGTCCCTCAAGGCGGGATCCTCCCTCCATGGATCCGAACTCGGAAGTATGGGATCCGGGGTACCTCGCGGTGGATCTTGACTCCTCGTTAGCCGTGGCTACTAGATCCACCTTCGGATGACACCTACCACCATTCCTTCATAGGATCCACACTCGATCCACTGGTACCTAATGTATCCCATATCCACCTAAGTGAATCCAGGTAAGGGTGGATCCGAGATAAGTCTTGGTGGATCTTGTCTTCTCGTACATCGCTCATACCAGATCCATCGTCATTCCATACGGGTGCCGCTCGTCATGGCTAATCCAC